AAATGTACAGAGCACACTGGAAGCAATCCTATCACACGATACCGCCAATCATCCCGCTCACCAGCGACACGCCGTGTTTATGCCAGCATGTTTCACGCGCTTTCCATCAAGGATCCTAGCGCACGATACCGCCAATCATCCCGCTCACCAGCGACACGCCGCGTTTACGCCAGCATGTTTCGCGCTCGCCAGTGGCACGGCGCCCCGCAAACGTACTTCCCACCAAGGCCGTGCAAATCCGCATGGTACTGCGACATCACGGACGTAATTCGCCGCACGGTCTGCCCACATACTAGACTACCCACACGATAACCCCGACGCCGCGTTTACGCCAGCATGTTTCGCGCTCCCCAGTGGCACGGCGCCACGCGAACGCAGTTTCCACCAAGGCCGCGCAAATCCGCATGGCACTGCAGCATCACGGACGTAATTCGCCACACGGTCTGCCCACACTAGAAGCAAGCCTATCACGCGATACCGCCGCCAATCATCCCGCTCACCAGCGACACGCCGCGTTTACGCCATGTTTCGCGCTCACGGCGCCCCGCAAACAGACTTCCCACCAAGGCCGCGCAAATCCGCATGGCGCTGCGACATCACGAACGTAATTCGCGGTAATTCGCCACACGGTCTGCCCACGCACATCTCACACTAGAAGCAAACACTTCAGAGTCCAGCTCCACAACGCTGTTTCCCGCACTACATTTGTACTACAAACTGCCTCTTCTGAGTCCAGCTCCGAAAAGCTCTTTCCCGCACTACATTTGCACTACCAACTGGCCACTGCTGAGTCCAGCTCCAAAAAGCTCTTTCCCGCACTACATTTGTACTACAAACTGGCCACGTCTGAGTCCAGCTCCGAAAAGCTCTCTCCCGTACTACATTTGTACTACAAACTGGCCACTTCTGAGTCCAGCTCCGAAAAGCTTTTTCCCGCACTACATTTGCACTACAAACTCCCTAGACTTCCAAGACCATTATAAAAATGGTTGACCTTGTTTTTGAAATGAAAAATCCTTAGTTGATTCGGTAAAGCCTATTAAAATAATGGTTGTTGGAAGCCTAGGGAACTGGCCACTTCTGAGCCCAGCTCTGAAAAGCTCTCTCCCGTACTACATTTGTACTACAAGCCGAGTCCAGCTCCGAAAAGCGCCCAAAACGCACTCTCACCTGCATTTCGCGCCCTCGACACGCACGATCTCCGCAGAGGGTTGCGCCGGACCGGGCCAAAACGCACTCTCGCCTGCATTTCGCGCCCTCGACACGCACGATCTCCGCGCCGGACAGAGACAAATAACGCACTCTCGCCTGCATTTCGCGCCCTCGACACGCACGATCTCCGCAGAGGGTTGCGCCGGACAGAGACAAAATGCACTCTCGCCTGCATTTGGCGCCCTCGACATGCGCGATCTCCGCAGAGGGTTGCGCCGGACAGAGACAAAACGCGCTCTCGCCTGCATTTCGCGCCCTCGACACGCGCGATCTCCGCAGAGGGTTGCCCGCGACCGGGCCAAAACGCACTCTCGCCTGCATTTCGCGCACTCGACACGCGCGATCTCCACAGAGGGTTGCGCCGGACAGAGACAAAGCGCACTCTCGCCTGCACTCGACACGCACGATCTCCACAGAGGGTTGCGTTTCGTGGTGCTCCGGCGGTACCGCCCCCGGCCTTAAGAGAGAAAGTAAAGAAGAGCGAGAGGTGAAGATGCGAGATCTAAATGTGAGGATGTGAAGATGAGCAGAGATGCAGATGTGTGAAGATGAACATGAGCAGAGATGTAGATGTGAGCATGTGAAGATGAGGAGAGATGTAGATGTGCAGATGAGCAGATGAGGAGAGATGTAGATGTGCAGATGAGCAGAGATGTGGGTGAGAATGTGAATGTGCAGAGGTGAAGATGCGAAGATGTATTCTGCAGATGTTTTTTTACGAAGAACCCTTCGCAGACGCTCTCGGTAAAAAGCAAACCTGTGCTGAGTTGTTTTGTGGGTGGCTTGGGCTTTGGGTTCCGGCCAGGTGTTTCTTGAAAGATTGCCGGGTAAAAAGTTCATAAAAGTCAACAAAGTCAACAGGACATGTGAGGAAGAAAGGGGCGCGTGCGTTCACATGTTTTGACCTGTGCTTTGGTGAGTTTCATCAATGGTTTTGATTTTGATTTGACAAAGATGTTTATGGGATCCTGGTCACGTTTTGGCTTATAGTTATAGAAATGCGGCGGTCAACCCCTCCCATAAAGCGATTTATAGATACCAGGGGATAGGAGAATAGGAGGGGTGGGCCCTCCCATTTTACAGAGAAAACGGGCTTGTTGCAGTGTGTGTGTACAAGTTTTTTCACTTTTTGTCAGTTGACGTGAACTGCACTCATCCGATCCGTAGCCGTTTGATCATTAATCACGAAAGGTAGCCTGGTAAGGACTACCTTGAGTTTGCTTTGCGAAGCAAAGGGACTGGCTTGAGAGCTGCTCGGGATTGGTAGATCAATGTCTAACACCCCCACCCCCGCCTCCCCCCCACCCCCCTCCCATGTGATGAATGATTGATAAATCAATTGATTCGACCCCCCCCTCCACTCCCCTCCCCGTCCCCTCCCCTCGTCGCCAGCACTACTAAATTCTGGACATAAGGTGAAGTCATGCGCTTAACAGTCACAGCAGTACGACGCTGGCCATGAGGTTGCGCAATACAGCACGAACCCTGCGCAATGAGGTCGCGCAATGCAGCTTCGATGCCGCGCGCGCGCACCCGGCAGCCTGACACAGCGCGTACTGCGTTCACAGACCATATTGCTCGACACCAGCGAGCATCGATGCAACACAGCCACTCTGCAAAGCCCTGTGGAGAAACCCCTCGCGTTGCGGAACACCATTCGACTCAGCCATATACCCTAGCGCTAGCGCGGCGAAATCTTACCGCATCGTGGAGCACACCCACCATAGCGTGACGTCCATCCCTGGCAGTACCGGCCGCACCCCTCCAGCACTATCCTTACAAGGGGGTTGGTCACTGAGTCACTGCGGCTTCGACGCAACGCGTGCAGGCCTGTAATCCTGACACAGTGCGTGCAGCTGTGGGACCATAGCTGGTACACATGCGAGCGTTTACGCATTGCGACTTTTACGCGGGCCTGTTTTCACACGCCTAGACACAAACGAGCGTCGACGCAACGCAGCCTCTCTGCAGAGCCGTGTGGCGCAATCTGACCGCAACGGTGTTCCTCTTGAGCCTTCTTATGCCTTCTTGTGCTCTCTGGCTTTGTTGGTTTCATCCATGATTGACCAAGGGGCACGTTCCTGAAACACCGGAGACAGTCCCTCACCAGAAAAGGTCCCGACAGCTACTCGGTCCGTCTCTACCTTTCGTGTTTCCCCGCTCAAGTTTGATCAAGATGAGCGCTCCTGCTGGATTACCGATTACCGGGTCCATACAATGTCAGAAGATGTCCTGCCAAAATGGCAAGATGGAGCCCCCTGTATTCAATGAGAAGCATGAGTGTTGGGAAGCACACTGGTGTATTTCAGTAATTTTACTTGTGGGTTGCCCTTTGGATCAATAACTTCACAGCTTTGGGACCTGGCAGGATCTGGGAAGCCTATAGGCCGCCTTTTCTCTAAAACCTGGCAGTCCCCACACCTCATCTCTATAAAATGGCATGCCTTAAGCTTCTCGCCACTGTATAAACAGGTCTGCTTGTAGACCCCCACAACAGAATTCCTTATGGCAGGCTGAACATTGCCAGTGGCCAACATCGAGTCTGCGTGTTTATGCATATACTTTTACATGCGCGTGTGCCTTTAGTTCACATCATTGAGGCCCAGTCCAGCAGACTTGGCAGATCCCCGTAGGGCCTGGCAGCCCCCCAGCCCCACCTCATCTTTATAAAATGGTCTGCCTTAACCCCCTCACCGCTGTATAGAAAGGTTTGCCTTTGGACGTGTTTACAAAAAAGTGGCCAACAATGATTTTGTATCTACTGTATATAAACAGATCTATTTGTGGGCTGCCTTTTGGATCAAGAAAATAACTTCAAAGCATTGGGGCCCAGCCCAGCAGACCTGGCAGGATCTGGAAAGCAAACCTTTTCTCTATAAAATGGCATGCCTTGACCCCCGCACCACTGTATAAAAACGTTTGCCTGTAGACTTGTTGTGAAAATTTTCCAGGGCCCACAGCTGCATTTTTTGTGGCAGGGTGAACATTTTGTGGCAGGTAGAGCCTTTGTGGCAGTCCAGCTGGGGTGCGATGGGAAACTGCAGTTGCGTTTGGGCAGCCTGCAGGCCCTGATTGGAATAGTTTCCAACCCACTAAAGAACAATCACCTGAGCAGCGCAGAAAAGTGGAGACAAAAAATGATCCAATTTTGTACACATTTCGGAGATGCAAAAAAAACAGAGAAATGACATGGAACAAGATAAATCAAGTTTCAAAGACTCAAGAAAACTATAGCGCCCAGAAATCTTGCCTTTTTAACCTAGAAAACATGCAGCCTCAGAAGTGATTGAAGTTTAATGAAAATCATAGCAAAGCAATAGAAAAATGACCTGCAGACTACTCATTTTATATAAATTAACGTTAGGTAGACTTTTCAATTTATACACGTGTGGGGGGTTGGGTCCCCCATTTTATTTCTATAAAATTGGTAGAAGGACCCCCCCTGGTGAAAGGTATGGGGGATTTTATGGGAGTGATAATGTTGTACAAGGAAGTTTGGAAGTCACGTCATCATATGTCGCAGTCTCACAAACTGTTGTTCTTTGCGTCCAGCATGCCATTTGCATTGCTGCATATGTGTAGGCACGTTGCTGACAAATGTGTTACAATCTAAATTTAGTCTGCATATGGTATGGTTTGTGTACCACGTTTGCTTCTGGCAAATGTAGGTTATGGTGTGTCCTTGTTCCTGCTTGCCTGGTACACTGGCAGCCCATCACACATTCAAGCTAGCCCACCGTCATCCCTTCAGTATTTCAGGGCATGTGTTTTGCACTTGCGCATCTCAGGATGTAAAACCGGAAAACTTTCTCTACGGCGGGCCGAATGGCTCGACCTTGAAGCTTTGTGACTTTGGGCTGGCATTGCGACAGCCTAAAAAGGGCAAGAAATTAACAGGGATAGGAGGAACGGCTCCTTACATGGCGCCGGAGATTTTGATATCCAGCTCAGGCTGGCCCTCGAATGAGGGGTACGACAAGGAAATCGACATGTGGGCTATGGGCGTAATTTTGTACTTGGTGCTGTACGGGCAATTCCCTTACATGCCAAAGGGCGAAGCCACTGCGGATTCGATGAAGACAGCAATCCGGAGCAATTCGCCACCTTTGGCCTTTCCGCCAATACAAGCCCTTGCAGCTTTAGGCTTGGTGAAAAAATTGTTGGTCAGACTTCCGGCAGACCGAGCCACTGCAGAAGAAGCGCGACTGGACCCATTCATATCAAAAGCTTCTGGCGCATTTGGCCCCACAGAAGTGACCGTCGCGCTGTCACAGGCGAAGGACATCATCGTGGTGTGCTGCTGTTTGGCATCAAAAAGTCTCAAACGCCCCGTGTTTTGGCAGGAGATGGCTGAAAGACTCAAGGAGTTCCAAGTAAGTGCCTCCTCACAGAGGGACCTTGAGGCCAAGTTGACACTCGTTCGCACAAAGTTAGTTCTGTTGAGCCAAGGATTTTCAGGCAGGTAACAATGAACATGCCCGATTTCAGATGGCTTATTTTGCGGCAGGCTGGGGGTCAAGCAATCGCTTTGCTTGTCGATGCGTTGGAAGCGTGAACTTGCGAAGGAAAGCCATGACAGCCGCGCGCGGTGGAATCTGGTTTTCAGAATCTGAAGCAGTTTCCCCGACGCAGTCCCAATGTTCAGCTACATATCGAGTTCCTTGGTAAAACGGCTTCAGTTTGGGGCAATGCGCTTGAACTTGTTTTTGCTGACTCGATGCAACTCTCTTGCTAAGGCTGAGGCTAGGATCAAGAAGGACAAGAAACCAGTCTCACGCGACAAATTCGGATGCTTGCCTCAAGAAAGGGTTTAGAAAAAGGAACGTCGTTTGTGTTGTTTTTGTTAATGCTTCCAACTTCTATGGTGATTCCAGCGCTTTGTCGGTTTTGTTGGAGTACGTTGAGCCAAATATGTTTCGCCGCAAGCATGATAGGTGGAGAAGCACCAGCTGCCGTCAAGAGTCAACACTGGTTCAATATGGGTCAATCATTTTAGACTTTCAATCTTGTGCCTTCACCTAGTGACGTGAGCCCAAGCACCTGGAAAACAAGGAACTCATTCAGGAGTCGTCAGCGAAGAGACCAAGGACTTCGAGGGCAACGCAGCATGTTGACTGCAACATAGGGGGCCTTCGGCTCCTGGCCTTACTACTAGGAGCAAGGACACTACTAGGGGCTCCTGGCCTTACTACTAGGAACAAGAAGCTACTAGGGGTTCCTGGCATCGCTACTAGGAGCAGGGACGCCACTAGGGGGCTCCTGGCCTCACTACTAGGGAGTTGGGAAATGCCTTGTTGTTTTGCTAGGACGTGTACCCGGAGGCCCCTTTGCAGTGAGATGCTGCACGGCTGGTGGGCACAGCCGTCATGGCTCATGGTTTGCGTTGCCAATTCGTTTCACTTCTCCCACTAAGAATGAGCTCAAGCTGGCTCTGAAAGTGCCATAGTCGCAGGCCACGTCCATGGACCATGGACTAAACATGTTTTAAACAAATGTCAAATGTCTTGTAAAGTACTTTCTATGTTTTGTGCCCTGGCCTGGAGCTCTCCTCAAGATGCGACGCATAGAGGGTCTACATGCGGCGCCCTTTGTTTTTGCGCGCGCAACCAGTGGACGGCGGCATTTGGGTTGGCGACTTGCGTTTAAGCGAGCGCAACTCCAAAATTAAATAAAGTGCCCAACAACAATGATGCCGACCTCTACGTGTATATATATATATATACTTCTTTAATGATCTATGTAAATACGTTTGTATAATGAGTTCTTGCTTTTGTTGAATCATTTGTGACCGTGCAGTTCAAGCCTAAGCAGGCACTGTGTAAACAGGTTGCCGCAAATGGAGCCATGCAACTTCGTAAGTTGACACTTGGCCACAGCATATATATAATCATATATATAATCATATATGTAATATATTGTACAGATGTAGATGGACAGCGTTGAGGTTTAATCCACTTTGATTGGTTTTTGCATGTTTTTGCACTGTGGATTGACTATGAATATATTGTGCATCCACGGGTGCTGGTACACCAGCAACTCGGTGCACGTGATTTCATGTGTATACCCATTTTGCTTTGTGCGCCGGTGATCCTGTAAGAGTTGGGTGTGGAGGGTGAGGCCATCGCTCCGTGGGTTGTGTTTGCCAAACCTCTTTATGCCATTTAATTTTGTGTTTTGTCAAACCAACTATTTGTGCCCCCCAAGTGACTGGGTCTCAGATGAACCAAGGTATGGGGTTGACACCACAAATGATCCCCTTCACCAGCGAAACGTTGCATTTACACAAGCATGTTTCCCATTCCCCCACGGCACAGAGCCACACAAACGCACTTTCCACCGGCACCTCGCCAAACTGCACGGCGCAACGACATTGCAACAACGGCACACCAAACCTCATTCATATGATTCATATGTCAAAGCATTCCGCTCACCAACATGCCGCGTTTACACGCGCACATTTCCCATGCCTCAATGGCGCGGAGGGCCGCACACCCACTCCCCCCAGCCCATTTTATCCATTGGCCCCGCACGGTAGCATCGCATCAATCATTTCAATGTAACCGTGCAACAGTGCAACATTAAAACCGACATTTACATCTAGACCAACCATATGTATCCATATGTCGCATGTACTGTACACAAAATTAAGTTGTGCCCGCTGGCGGGTATATTTTCCACCCGCAGACGAAGACGAATTCTGCAGGCGCAGTTTGCAAATTAGTAACTCCTCCGTGGAGACGAATTGCTCCCTGAAGACGGTTCTCCCCAAACACGTAGTCGACGAAGACAAATTGCAACGACATCAGCTAGACTGCCGCAAAACATTCGTTTGCCTTGCCGACTCGCTCACTGGCGGCGAAGGCATTGCAATGGTCAAGGTCTCCAACGGGCGCACCCAGCAACTCCCAGGCTGCGACTTACTTCACTGGGAGGCATGGTGGGAAAGCTGACAGCTCAGCGGACAACGCCTGCAGCCAAAACCAGTTCGCACTTAGACAGTTCAAGCGACAAAGCTGGCTGAGGCGACTGCTGCCTGCAAGGCTCCTAACGCATTCCCCACAGCGTCGGCTCGACCGGCAAGGATGACGTCATCCAAGTACGAAAAACAAAGTTCAACTGGGCACTGGGCTGCCTTGCGCAAGGCAGGTTGAAGCGCCACTGAAAAAAAGCAAAGGGCCAAGCGGGTCTCCCTGTCGCACCCCGTGCGAGGAAGGGATGGCGTGCTGTCCAAAACGGAGGATCGAAGGGGCCCGCAATAGCACCAATCCACCCTGCTGGGAAAGCGATCCGTGTTTCATACAAGGCCAGACGGTCCCCAGTGCTGAAGGCGTTTTTGAAATCAACCTTCAATAGAACTTTGTCTCGGGCTTCGCTGTTGCGAGCAGTCCATTGGCGGGTGGCACGCACAGCGGCTTCGCCACCCATCCGGGCACCAACCCCCACTTGGGCAGGCCAGAAATGTCGAGAGCAGTCCTCTCGCACAGCCTGGCATAGGACCTTCCCAGCCAATCGCCGGAGCATGGGGCGCACGATACCGGTTTTTTTGTTTTTTGGCAAGGCATGCAAGGCCGCGCCGGCCAAGTAAGGGGCGATGGCTGGGGGCACCTCCTAACACTAGCTGGGCAGCAACTGCATCGCCATGGGCTGTTGATAAAGTCTCCTTGATGTGGTCGGTCCGGAGGCCAGACGGGTCTGGCACTGAGGCTCGCGCAAAACTGCGGATGGCACGAACAACTTCTTCAGTGGAAAATTCAGGCACAGCTGCAGGCCTCATAGGGCATATAATTTGTAATTATTTAGGAAATAAATAGTGATATTGAAATTTATGTTATGGAAAACGTATTTTTTTATATATAATATAATTAATATATATATATATATTAATATTGATTAGAAGGGGAATGTGAGTTTAGGGTGCACGAGCCTAGGAATATTAAAAATCTATGGTATTATATATGTTTAATTTTTATATTTGATTTAGAAATATTGTATGTTTTGAATATATTGATTTTAGTTATGTAGTTTATTTATTGTAAGGGTTTCGCCTTGGTGCCGCCGATCCCTTTTTGTAGGAAGGATTTGTAGTGAAAGCCTAATGTAGAAACGAGGAGTGAGAATTCCATTAATGTAGAAGCGAATTGCGACGAGCGAGAATTTTTGATGTCGTCGAAAACGTTTCGGTAATTGTGTTAAAATTGACGAATTTTATAGTAAAAGATTGTTAAAATATTATTTTATAGGGTGTGTAAGGGTAATATGGAATTTTAATGAAAAGGATTAGTGAAGGCTTGCGTCGTAGAGGGATTGGGCCGAATATGGGTAAGAATGGTTGGTACGTCGTTTTCGGAACTATATATAATAGTTATTTAATATATATTAGAGGCTTATTTTTAAGGTTTCTGGTAATTTTTTAATTATGATTTTCGATTAGTTAAATTTATATTAAAAAGGAATGTTACGAAAGGTAGCTTGGTAAGAACTACTTTGAATTTGCCTTACGAAGCAAAGGGATTGGCTTGAGAGCTTGCTCGGGACTAAAGATTGGTAGATGAATGTCTAACACTCCCACCCCCCGTCCCATGTGATGAATGATTGATAAATTAATTGATTCGATCCTCCCCTCCCCCGCCCTTCCCCCTCTTCTTCTCTCCTCCCCGTCCCCTTCTCTCGTCGCTAGCACTACTAAATTCTGGACATAAGGTGAAGTCGTGCGCTTAACAATCATAGCAGTACGACGCTGGTTATGAGGTTGCGCAATACCATACGAACCCTGTGTAATGAGGTCGCGCAATGTAGTTTCGATGCCGCGCGTGCGTACCCGGCGGCCCTAACATAGCGCGTACTACGTCTATAGACCATATTGCTCGACACTAACGAGTATCGATGTAACGCAGCCTCTTTACAAAGCCTTGTGGAGAAACCCCTCGCGTCGCGGAACACTATTCGATTCAGCCTTATATCCTAGCATGGCGAAATTTTACCGCATCGTGGAGCATATACCCACATAATGTGACGTCTATCTTTGGTAGTACCGGCCGCACCCCTTTAGCACTATCCTAACAAACGGGGATGGTCACTGCGACTTCGACGCAACGTGTACAGGCTTGTAATCCTGACACAGTGCGTGCAGCTGTGGGACTATAACTGGTACACATGCGAGCGTTTCGACTTTTACGCGTGCCTGTTTTCACACACCTAGACACAAACGAGCGTCGACGCAACGCAGCCTCTCTGCAGAGCCGTGTGGCGTAATTTGACCGCAACGGAGTTCTTCTTGAGCCTTCTTATGCCTTCTTGTACTCTCTGGCTTTGTTGCTTTTATCTATGATTGACCAAGGGGCACGTTCTTGAAACACCGGAGACAGTCCCTTACCAGAAAAGGTCCCGACAGCTACTCGGTCCGTCTCTACCTTTCGTGTTTCCCCGCTCAAGTATTGTGATTTGGTATATTTTATTGAAATTTATAAATAGATATTTGATATATTTAATATATAAATTATATGTTAAAATTCTATTCATAAAAATTTCGAATATTTGTATATCGATTAATATATTATTTTCGGGATATTTAATGGGAATTATTCCGATAATTTGGTTAAAGATATTTTTTAATTTTTTTTCGGTAATTTCTTTCGTTGGGCTATATATTAGGCTTGGCACGTATTAGAGGTTATTCCCAAGGCTCCCGGCAATTTCCCTCATTATGGCGTTTTAAATAGAATATTTAATGTTATTGGTACGTCGCCTTCGGGAACCCATAAAATAATTGTTTGGTGCGTGCTAGGGGCTTATTATTAATATTCTCGGGGATCTGGCTAAAGTTTATTTCTAAGGTTCCCGGTAATTTCGTTTGCGACGGCTTTTTAGTATTTAATTCCACACCGAAAAGGAGCGCGACGAGCCAGAATACTTAACGTTGTCTGATACGTCGTTTATAGGAGCCTATAAATACAAATTGCCTGATATATTCTAGAAATTCATTCCTAAGGCTCCACAATGCTTAATGTTGCCTGGCACGTCGTCTTCGGGAGCCCATAAAAAAATTGTCTGGCACGTGCCACAGACTTACTCCCAAGACTCCCGGCCATTTGTATCGCCACGCTTTTCCACCATCTAATGCTATAGGCGCGACGAGCCAGAATACTTGACGTTACTTGCTACTCTGCCTGGCTTGGCGCGTTACCTTCGGGAGTCCATAAAACAGATTCCGAGCACGTTACCTTCGATGCCCAGTTGCTTAGGCAGAATACAGCGGACGGCCACACCTAGAAACGGCACCTTCGCC